TCATATGACAATTAAGTAATTTTTACCAGTATAGCGAATTATATATTTTACAGAAAACTATAAAATATTGATAAGGACATCAGAAAATATATTTTAAAGAAAATGTGGGATAAATAATATGTTAATTAATTTTTAATATAATATTTTATTAAACTAAATAGATGGCGTTAAATAAATAAATGCAAATTGTTGCAATATTTATTATCAAGAGCATTGATTAGAAATATTTGCTAAAATATTAACTGTAATACATTCTCTAACTGTTAAATATGTCTGTTAAAGTATAATTTTACCTAGTATCTTGTAACTAATTAATTCTATATAATAGAGGAATATCAACTATATGTCTACTTACTTTTTATAAATAAATTTCTTTTACTTGTTTGGAATAAATTATTACCATGATTTATATTAATATATATACAAGTAATTTATTATATTTTATATAAACTAATAAAAATATATTTAATATTTGTTCCCTTATTTTTTTATTAAAATTCACCACATACGATCTTTGGCTAAGGATTTAATTTTACCTGCTCCCAAATGACCTTCGTGTAACGCCTCCAGTATGTTCTTTCTCAGACTTGATGGAATTATTATTTTGTCGCTTTTGTACAGACAATCTTTAATGATACTTAGTTCGTATTCAATATTTTCATAAATTTTATTTTGGATAGGCACATTATTTCTTATGTCATTCATAACTTGAGATAGTTCAGAATCTTTAGAAGTTTGATCGCGTATTTGGTCAAAACTCAGAGGTATATCGCCAAAGTCATTTATAATTGCGATATCATCAATAACGTCATCCACACCTACTTGTGGTAATCTCGAGAGGCAATCAGGAACAACATTATATTTGCCAGCTTTAAACTTGATGTTAAAGTCGTAACCCCCCAAAATTATATTCCACTTTTGTAATATTAAGGACATGGTACTATTATCTTTCAGTCCTTTGGTAAAAATGTGGATTAATGGCTTGTGGTCGGTTATAATAGTAAACTTGGTCCCTATCAAGTATTCTTGGAATCTCTTGATTGCAAACATAATGGCCAGAGCTTCACGCTCAATATTGGTATAGTTTATTTCGGATTTTGATAAAGTTCTTGATGCAAAAGCTATCGGTTTTTCTTTGCCATCTTTTTCAGTGTGAAACAAAACAGCTCCCAAACCACTTTTAGATGCATCCGTTGCAATTCCAATAGGTAAATCAGGATTAAAGTACGTCAAAGCTGGAGGAAGACTAATCAATGTCTTTAGATCATCAAAACTTTTGGAGTGTTCTAAATTCCACTCCCATTTTTCTTTGTTGACAATCTTGTATAAAAGATCAGCTATTTCAGCGAAGGTTCAAAAATTTTCTGTAGTAACCGGCCATACCTAGAAACGTTGACAATTCCGCGGCTGATTTTGGTTCCGGCATTTTAACGATCGCCTCGATCTTGTTATGGTTGGCGTGGATCCCATTGGCGTCGATGTCGTGTCCTAAGAACCTTAGACTTTTTTTGAAAAATAAGCTTTTTGCAAAATTAGGCACTAAGCCATGAGATAGTATTCTTTCAAAAACCTTCTTTATGTTGTTGAAATGAATTTCGTCACTACTTCCCGTTATTAGTAGATCATCAATATAAAATACGACATCTTTCATGTCACCGAAAATTTTATCCATAATTTGTTGAAAAATCGCAGATGAAGTCTTTAACCCAAAAGGAAGTCTGGTAAACCGGTAGTACCCCTTGTGTGTAGATATAGTTAATATGTCTCTGCAGGTTTCGTCGATGGGAATTTGTAGGAACGCATCCTTGAAATCTATCTTGGTGAACTTCTTCCCTTCCTTGAGCTTAGCGATAAGATCGTTTATTCTTGGAAGTGGGTATCTGAAGTCCTCAAGGGCTGGGTTGACAGTGTCTTTGAAGTCGGCGCAAACCCTAACGCTCCCATTATCCTTGTAGACAGCGGTTATCGGACTTGCCCATCGGACATCTGTTACCGGCTCAATGACTCCATCTCCTTTCCATCTCGTAAGTTCTCTAGTAACAGCGTCTATCTTTGAATAAGGTAACCGTCTAGGTGGTATGATTTTCGGTTTGGCGTCATTACTAGATATATCTTGACATTCCCTTTATTGATCAGTTTTTTAGTCAGTTTAGATTCGCAATCTTTTATTAATTTCTTTATTTTATCTTCATAGTTGGTATCAATGTTTGCTATAAATTTGTTCAAAATATTACTAAAGGCATTAATCCACATACGTCCCAATAACGCATTTTTATTAGATTTAACGACCACGGCTTGCAAGTGTTTGGTGATACCTTCGTAGGTTACTTTAATTAATTAAGTTTCCATCATAAGCTGTGAGTTGTAGAGTGGACTTTTTAAGATCTTTAATACCTATTTGTTTAGCCATATCATGAGGTATAATCGTAAACTTGGATCCCGTATCAACCTGCATAGTAACAGTAGCATCATTTACTTTTAAAGTTGTCATGAACGCATTATCATTAAGTTTAAACTCAGTTAAATTGTTGACATTAAAATCACTACCATTATTATTTTGTGTAGGGTCATTTTTTTCTTCAACAATCTCTTCAATGTTCATGTTACAATTGATGTTACTTTGATTCATGTCATTATATTGTAATTGTTTTCTTTGATTAATATTTTGATTATAATTTTTCCACGTATTATTTTCTCCATTATTGTTGTTATTGTAGGATTGATATTGATAACCATATCGATTATTATATTGACTCTGATTTCTTTGATTGTCGTAAGACTAGGAATTGTTTCTCCCATTATAATTATTGTTTTGCCAAGTACCTCTACCATAATTGTTTGAATTGTTATTGTAATCTTGCCGAGTGTTGTTCCTACCGTAATTGTTTGAATTATAGTTAAAATTTTGCCGAGCGTTGTTCCTACCAAAATTGTTTGAATTGTAGTTGTTTGAAGATTGATTATTACTAAAATTTCTAGAGTGACCCTCGTTATTTCGGAAATTACTGTTTTGGTAGTTTCTGCTATTTATATCACTTGGCCTAAAATTATTATGATTCCCTTACTATTAAAAGTTTTAGAAATATTTTTTATAAAATTTTCGTTTTTATCTATATAATTTGTATCCCTAATCTCCGGCTTAATATTGCTGCCATCTAACTCAACTCCTAATTTCATCATCTTATCTAAGCCTTCGTGCTTATGTTTATTTAACTTCCTTCTGATATTATCATTTAAAGAACAAGTTATTAATTTCTCAATCATTCTCGTATCGTTATCAAAATCGCATTTTTTATGAAGTTTTGAAATCCTAAAATAAAAAGTATGGAAGGACTCATCGGCACCCTGTACCGCTAAGTTAAAGTTTTTTATATTAACATTCATGTCCTCACTTGGAATTATTAGTTTCAATTTACCAAAAACAATATTAAAGTCTTTTAACTGTGCTTTAGAACATATCGACGTAACTTGGTCTACAATCTCAATTGGTAAGCTACATAGTAGTGTCCTAACTTTAGATGAGTCTGACTCAATATGTCCCCAAAGTATGTTTCAATTAAGTTAAGATAAGTCTCAGATAATTTTCCTGATAACTTGGAAAATTTAGGAACATATTGAGTGTGTGTAAGAGTTAATTTTTCGTCCATGATAAAATTTTATTTAAATAAAGTAAACTTTCAATTTTTAGAATCGTAAAAGCAAAACATTGTAGTCCATTAAAATCAAATTTAAGTTGTCTAAAAAATTTTAATTTTAATCAAGAGAATGTGGTCCACTAAGTTTCAATAGTTTATCTATAAAAATTCTAATTCAAATTCGTAAAGAGGATTTAGTCCACTAAGTTTCAATATAATTTATCTGTGAAAAATTTAATTCTAATTCGTAAAGAGGATTTAGTCCACTAGGTTTTAATTTGAATTATCTATAAATATCTAGACTTGATTCGTCACAAAGAATTTCATATTACTTTAATATCGTTAGAAAATTTTATTAATAACCTATAAACTGTGATCTGCTAAGCGCGTAAAAAAATTTTTATTTTTTTTTTATAATTGCGAGAAAAATTACAAAATAATGTAATATAGGGATAATAGCTAATAAAAATTTTTCTATGTCCAATAAATGTAGTATATCAAATATGTAAAGCGTAAAGATATTTAAGTTTTAATATTTAAATTTTAATATTCCGTAATTGCACAAGATATAAAAATGAAATTATTTTCATCAAAAACATAGGGCTTCCCATTTAGAGACATGTAGGTATCAATCATTTTTCGTAAGGACTTAAAATAAAAGAAAATTTCATTCATTCTATTATTTCGTAGAGAATTCATTATATCCTCCCATTTCCTTCAACATTTCATCGATAATTGTGCGCTGAGGTATATTATAAGCTTTAAAATAAAACATCATAACGTAGAAATGCAAAGATTCCGATGAAAAAACTATATTTTATCATATTACTCTTTTATTTATATATATATATATTTTATTTTCTCTTTTTTTTTTTTACCTTTTATAATTTTGTAAATTTGGATAAAATTTTGACTATCGAAAAGAAAAGTCAAAAAAATTTTATATGTCCTTTTATCATCTCCAATATCGAACGACGAATTTGATAAGTAATTCCTTTACTTTTTATTTTTACAAAAGAAATCGACAAAAAAAACGGATAAATTCTTTGATTATTTTATTTTCAAGGTAAGGATATAATTTTAATTTTTAAACTTTTATTTAATATTTTTTTTTTTTAAAAAACGAAGAAACTTACCACCGTAATCGGGGCACCATTTTAAATAAGGTTAAACAAATTTGTTTTAATAATATAAATTTAAATTTTATTCACTAACTTCTTTTTTCTATCACAATCTATTTATACAAAAAATATCAAACAAAGTTAATTGAATATATTAAACAATCAATTTAAATAATATAAGATATTCAAATGATATAACGTTAATATATTTTAAATATAAATAAATATTCAAATTTAAAATATAAGACTAATCAACATTATTAAAAATAAAAAAATATAGGGAGTAGAATAAAAACAAGTACTACCACGATTTTTATAACGATGTTACTATAATTCTATTGTTTTAGCGCAATATATAGTACCTTTCAAAGTTAGGTTTACATTATGGCGGATATTATGTCTATGACTCTAATACAAGAGGAATATGATAAGATAAAAGGAAATTTGGATGATATCAATCAATCTATCAAAAAATATACTTGGAGCCGAAATGATAATCTGTAAATACAATATATAAAATTATACCTATTATATTCATAGGAATTCTAACAAAATAACCTCTTTGCATGAAGAAAATAAGTATAGTTTGTCCTATGTTTATATTTATAAACCACCATTCTAGTAAATTTCCTAAGAAAGAATCACAGCACATATTTAATGAATTTGATCATATAGTTGTTGACAATGATGAAGCAATAACTGAAGATGAATCTGAGGATATTTCTAAGGTCTATAAATTTTATTTGATATATAAAAATTATTTATACCTATAGCCAATTATTAATTCTATGATTGTTCAAGTTAATAATTCAATTAAATCTCGTGATGATTTCATTGACACACATAAAAATATAAATTTAATTGCTAGGTATGAAATCTCATTTCTTTCTGTGTTTATTATATTGTTTTAGAAATAAAAGGATGTTTGGTCATTTATTAGGAACATTAACTCAATTTAAAAAAGATTCAGATCAAGCTAAAGAAAAAGTTTTTCTTGTTTTTATTTATATTTAATTTTCTAAAAGAGTAGAGCCACTTTAAGAACTGAAATTGAAAGAAAATTAGAAGATAAGGCAAATCAGGAGAAACAAGATTTGTTATTAGAAAAACGACAATTATTTACTCAACAAAAACAAGCTAAAAATAGAATGAAAGCTTTAGAAATAAAAATTGAAATATTGAAATTGGTATTTACAAATTAACAATACTAGGATATTTTATACTATAAAACATTAGGAAGAAGCATGGGAAGAATACCAAAATCAGATGAAAAGATTTGTTAAGACTCAGACCCATCCAAATATATTTTATTTACCTGCTCTTATGAACCTTGAAATGCAATCTAAATTAGATACTAGTACTAATAAAATTGAAGGTTATTAATATCATTTTTTGGTCATTTAATATCAAATTTATCATGATTCCTCCGTACTTTGGGATTCACATAACTAAATAGTGTTCTAATTTTTTTTATTATAAGTTTTATTATTTTTGAAGATATTAAGAGTCCAAGTATGAAAAATGATTTTTTTAATACTTATCAATTGATTCAATCAAACATTTTCTTAATTATATATTTGAATAATAAAATATAGTATAAACATTTTTTTTTAAATATACTGATTTTTTTAATTCAATGGTTCTATATAACTCCTAAAATTCTTGTAAAAAAAATAAGTTTTTATTGTTTATATAAAATTTTAATCTAGAACTAGGGATATTTTAATTAGAAGTCTATAATGGGCAGGTTTTCTGGCTAAAAACCTGCCCACTTGTTTTTTGGAATATTTTTTAACCCACCCACCTCCCCACTTATAATTTTTTTAAAAATATTTACCTGCCAGCCATTTATCTATAAAATTTTGTTAACTTACATCTGCCTAATGTTTAAAAAATATTTAAAGGATGGTTTGGCTCTTTATTTATTTATTTTAATGTTTTTTTTAATATAACATATATGATATTCAGTATTATGAAATAAAACTAATTTTTTTATAAATTGAAGTTTGTTCTGCTCATATTGCCTAAACATTTTATAACCCAACCACCACCCATCCAATGTTGAAAATATTTTAGAGAACCAGACCACACCCATCCAAAGTATATGTGGGCAAGCTAAAAACCTGCCCAATGTAGACCAGTTTCAATACCACATTTTGAAATTGGATCTGATATGATATCATCGATTACTGATCCAATATAACATCTTATTGTATTCTTTATACATATTTAATTTTTTAATGTAAAAGGGTATATAATAAAAATGTGCAAAACAAAATATTATATGGGTGAATGTTTAATATTCATTAAAAAAATCAGGACTGTGCGATCCACATATTTTTTTTACTTATCCAATATTGGTTCAAAACCAATCCAATATTAATTTTTAAGAAATTTATATTTTTTATGCAAAATGCATTTAATTTAATTTTAATATTTTATTTCTACAATTAAGACATAATTTAAAAAAAATTATATTATAAAAAATATATATATTTTAATGATATATCCATTTTATTTTATATAATATATATGTTGGTATGAATGATAAAATTGTAATATTTAATTTATATAATTACAATATATTAGATTTTTTAAAATAAATATGAGAGCCTCTATATTTTCTGGCAATAATCTACAATGTGGACTATCTATATCCCCTGCCAACTCAGATGGGGCACTTGTTATAGGAGGCACCAAAAATTTACATGCAAGTTTTGACAAAATTTTATACGTTTCAGTATTAATTCTCCAATAGTCAAGTGGATCCAAAAGGGATATATAATAGCAATGTTATTTTAGTTATCTATAAAAAGAACACAAATATGAAATTAACATTTTTAAAATAGTGGGTATCAAATAAACCCAACCTTTTTGTTTATTTTGAAAAACAGATTTCATCCAAACAAATTTCTAACAAACAAATGGGTTAATCTTAATCCAACTAAGCTAATATGATAAATATTTTATTATACTTTCTATATAATAAAGATTCTTTTAAATATTCCTTGATTTTTATCAAGTATGGCATGTCATCTACATTACTATCGATTTCAATTATTTTATTTATTACTAGTTTCTCTTTGATTATTAATTTATAAGCATCCCTAAAATTAAATTTGCATTTTTTAATGTTATGTATTCTTCTCATTGTCATTCATCACCTAAGTTATCAATAAAATCTATATTTATTTTAAAAAAATAAAACCTGGCGAATCTTATTGGGAGTTGGAAGTTGAACATTATTATCACCTTTAATAAAAGGGTCACATGCAGTTCTGAGTTTTTCAATATATGAAAAGACCTTTGGTAAAAATAAATCCTTTTAATGAGGGTCAAGTAGTGTTGCGATAAGACAATTGTCATCATCATAAATATCAAAAAACCAAGTTATTAATTGATTATTAATGGTATCCTTTATAGTTTGCACACCTCTATCTGTATCCCCATTAATCGTTAATTCACTTTTCAGAATTTCAACAAAGGGTATAACATTTCTAATTGAACATGATTCCATACTTATTTCTTTTGTTACCTTCTGAATTGGTTCTAGAATTACCTTTTTTGTTAATTCCCACTCATATAATGAGAGATTTCCAAAATTAGGATTATCGATAATGAACAGCTGTATCACCCTATTTTATTCTATCAATTGTTCAAGCATGTAATAGGTAGAATCCCAAGGTGGGCACGTCCTGGATTAATTTATGCCTAGTTAGACTCAAGATTTTTTTAGTCAATGTTTAAAGTGGCCTACTATTTCTTACCCGAGCAAGCCTGTCAATGATAAATCTCTGTGATAAAATTGATACCTTTACGACCAATTGCAAACTGTTAGCAAAACAGGTAACGTTTTGAAATTTCCCGTTTTTCATGACCAAAGCTATATTGAATGCATTATCTTTAATGATTAGGTGTATTTTATTTTTTCTTATTCCCCAATAATTAATCATTTCATCTAAAATTTGTACAATGTTTATTGCTATATGCGATTCAATAAATGATTTAATTTTATAATTTGGACATAATTGATTTGATGTAAAGCCGTCGTCCTCCAAGATAGAAATCGGCTTGTGGTCACATTCTAACATTTCCTTATAAAATTAGTCATAATTATGTATTTAGGGGCAGAAATTTTCCAAATACTGATTAAGGATGGCTGATATTGTTGGCTGACTTTCTGGACTCTTATTTTTTAAACTTTGATTTTTTTTCTAATATTGCGTTTTTTTATTAGCTCTTCAAATGCCGTTTGATGGTATCGCTTTAAATGTTTACGGATATTGGTGGCATTAAATGAAGTTTTCATTATTCCTCCCCGTGAAATTAGAGTTCCAAACGCATCTTGCAAAATTAGTAAAATATTTCCATAATTCAGATGCCATATTTACATAATATCCTTTATTTAAAGTATAATTAATATAATTGGCGTTATTATTTAAAAGATTTAGAATAAATAAAACTTTGGGTGTTCCTTTCCATTTTTATAAAAAATCTTTTAATATATTTTAAATCTATAAAAAAAAATAGCGAAGTGTTGCATTGTTTTAAAAATTAATAAAAAATTATTTAGAATCGTTCTTTTTGAAATATTATAATTATGTATAATAAACTATATAACAAAAAAAGTAAAAAGATCAGATTGGTTTTTTATAGGTATCGGCCTTATCTGATTTTTTTGAAAAACGTTGTTATATTTATAAATAAACATTTTCATATTTACATTTCTTATATTTTTTAAAATTATGACACCATCAGATCGGAGAATTTTATAATATATTGGCCTATAACCATTATTTTAGACCAATAAAATCGGTACATCCCTATTAAATGAATAAAATTGGAATGCTGAGTTTTTTCTATGTGTAAAATCACATAAAACGTTTTATATTTATATGTCAAATCAATAACCTTACTACCTGACCATCTCCAATTTTGATAAAATTTGGTATATTGGTAATTGAAATGTTATAATTGGTGAATCCGATATTTTAGCCTCTTAGCTTATTAGAATTAGAGATATAGGGCTTCAAAGTGGCTCTGCTTGGCCTTTTTGAAGAACAATTTTTTTAAATTACTGTAAATTTACTACTAGAAACATTATAAATGAATATTATATCTGATTTTATAGGCCTAAAAGAACTTGAAAATAAACTTAATATAATTTATTCCTAATTTAAAATTTATTTATTTCTGTTTAATTAAAATTATATATTTCCAAATTTCACATATTTGGTAAAGAGTTCCTGATAATTGTCACATAACTTTATATAAAAAAGAATACCAATTTATGAGAATGACAACATCCCTACAAATTCAATAAATTTTTAAATTCCACCTTAATTGAAATGGAAAAGAATATTCTAATTAAAAAAACACACAATTCCCTACACCTATATCCTTAAATTTGAAATTAATTGAAATGGCATAATCGCTAATAATAAATAGATTAAGAGAAAAGGGATATCCTAACTAGAGGTGGGAGCGGGCTGTGTAATTACGCGTGACCCATCGTGTCACGGCGTGAGTGTTAATAAAATTTTAATTATTAGGCGTGACGGGCCTTTCCAAAATTTTTCCCGTGCCTGAACATAAATTTCTCGTGAATCACGGAAATTTTAGTTTTTTTATAAATATAAATTTGTAATTTTATAATTTAATTTAGTTCTTTTTTAAAAAAGAATAATTTTTGAAAACAAAAAATATTCCGGCATTTTATAAACAACATCTGGTGTCACGCTCCTAGTTCTATTTTCTTTTTATGTTTAGGTGTTTTGTCGCAAGATTTTCACTTAAGGTAGGCTTAATTCTAGATCTAATTTAAAAAGCCTTAAGTTTTTAATAGACGGAGAAAAGGAAGATATTTACAAAACAATCTTAAAAATGTGAAATGATATAAAATTAGATGATATGCATAAATCAATGCCAACTGTCATTTATAACTTTCTTAATTCATCCTACATTTTTAAAAACCCATATATTCTAAATGAAACATATTTTCAGATGATTCTGATGAAGCATCGACATCTACCGATGAAAGCTGTGTGAATTTAAAAGATTCATCCCATAAAACAAATAACATTGGAAATATTTGAAGTTTTGGAAGGAGGAAATTTTATTTTCTTTTTTGAGAAAATTAGAGAGTAAAATTTTGTCAGCCCTGGCAAATTCGGCTTCTAGTGAAAAGTTATTTTCTGCAGCCATTCGATTAGAGAAAAGGCGTACACAATCGAAATAAAAAAAATGACATTCTTCTTTTTCTATGTAAAAATTTGGATTTATAATATGTATTTATTTTTTGTTATTATGGATTATGGAATTAAAAAAATAAATAGAATAAATTCAAAAAAGTGTAAAAAATTATAGCATTAAAGT